CCACCAGTGACAATGCATGTAGACTCAAAAAGCTTTGGCAACTGAACAAGCCGATGAGTATGTATGCGACACGTCACGGTCATGTTTAACACCGCCCATGATATTTGCCATGCAGAATGTATATGATGACCCTTGGGTATCTGAATAAACGCCTGGTCCATTGGTACGCTCCACTGGGGCGTCTCTCTGCTCGAGAACTAGAGGTGATCGTTCCCACCCTCAATGCTGTAGTACCGCCCCTCCGCCTGGTCCGCCAACCTTCACTGGTACGAAGCTCATGGACGACGAAGACCGTCCATGGAAGCCTCTACAAAGCGGAGACCAACGTGTTCCATGCCCCGGGTTGAAAGTTCTGGCGTCACATGGGGGGAGATTAGGGTATTGCATCTTTGCCCAGTTCATGATTGTCACTCACATCGTCGTACCTCCAGAGAAACAGCGGTGTTACTCCCACGCAATTGATCACAGCTACTCAAGAGGCTACGTACACGGAGGCAATTGGCTAAACACTGATGTTGGCTGACTTCAACTCTCAAAGCTTTGTGAATGGGACGGGCAGATGCTGAGCTGCAGTTATGATGCAAAGAAAGGGGCTAAAGATAGTTGTGCTGTATGGCACGTTAGCGCCAAGTCCCCCCCAAATCCTTGTCCGAAAATCTGTCCCTTCAAACAAATTCTTGCGCTATATTCAATATTCATTGATTAGCAGGACATCTATGAGGCGGTGATTCGTGGAATTTGCGTGAGCGAGTTGGTTCGATCCACCTCGGACAGTCCCTTCCATCACGCGTGTATCCAGAATTCCCCTAAACCCATGATTGAATTCCCATCGTGACGAAGTGCACGGACCAGAAATGAGGGGCTTGTCATTCTCAGCCGTCGATTTCGGTGTGTCCTCGAGGATCTGTGGCTAAAGCAGCCCGCCCATGCATACTAGCCACACTACTTCACAATAACGCTGTGTCATCAACGCTCAAATCGAGGAGAGTGTATTACTCGCCACCTACTGACCTTCGACCTGGCACGACAACTGACACTCATCACCTTCGGGCAGCAATCACACATCTTAACTCAATCGAGAACAAGGGACTTGAGTCATCAACTGCGCCATTAACCCAAGGTAAATATTCTTGCTGCGCCTCCCATCCAAGACCTTTTAATGGTCCGGCGTCCTCGTTACTGGCAATAATACAAGGTGTGCCATTGGTTTTTGTGGATTCGCGCAGTCCAAAGGCTGCGGGGCAACTGGTCGGCTAGATGGATGCTGTAGAGTCGGAACACTCGGCAGCCCGTGCAACGTGGAGACATTACTTACACAGTCAACCACCGGGGACGAAGAACCTTGATAGTAAATCTTTGGCGATTTGAAAAACCGATTTACCATGTTGTGGTCAAAGTTGAGCCTGTGTCCTTTGTTCAGGTGTATAAAAGGGTACCATCTGAAGAGAAATAGTATCACCACAGGACCAATAACTTCAATATCCATCGCTCACTCACAATGCGTTTTAACCCTCTCGCCGCCTTCGTGGCATTGGGAGCTTTTTGCATCTCAACAACGACTGCCTTCCCACCTTATGCGCCACTTGGCGGCCTTTCCGCTCGTCAGCTGGAGGAAATTGTACCAACCCTTGATGCCAAGGTACCGCCTCCGCCACCTGGGCCACCGAGTTTCACTGGTGCGCAGCTCGTCGACGATAAAGACCATCCGTGGAGAGCTCCACGACCGGGAGACCAGCGGGGACCATGCCCCGGATTGAATACCCTGGCTTCGCATGGTGTGCGTATTGACGTATTATTTCATCGTCGATGCATGCCTGAGACTCTCCCCGCAGTACCTCCCGAGAAACGGTGTTGCTACTCCAACCCAAATAATCCAAGCCGTTCAGGAAGGCACGTACCTGCGGCTTATTGGCCAAGAATTTACATTGATGGTCATATTGGATTCCTAAGGCTTCAATTTTGATAACCTTGGTGCTCGGTCTGCTGTCTACTCAGCCCTCCTGGTAGATGGCAATGTTGTTACGGATTTGTTGAGCATCGGTGGAAAGACGCGTCTGACTGGAGCAAACCCACCTACACCCGCCATCGTTGGAGGTTTGAACAACCACAGAACATTTGAGGGAGATGTGAGTCTAACTCGAGGTGCGCCTTAGCGGTATTGCAATCTGTGAATTAATGAACTGATATGCGTTCAGGGGACGCTTTCTTTGGTGATAACCACTCCTTTAACCAGACGCTGTGGGATCAAGTGAGTACCAAATGGGCATGGCACGATAATATACTCACCGAAATGCCACGCCGTCTAGTTCGTAGACTTCAGCAACAGATTCGGTAACGGTTTCTACAACATCACCGTGGCCTCCGAGCTTCGCTTCCATCGCATCCAACAATCCATCGCCGAAAATCCTGAATTTACCATGTTGGGCCTCCGCCACCTCACCGCATACGGCGAAGCCGCGCTTCCCGTCAACCTCTTCGTGGATGGTCGAAAGACAGGCTCGTACAAGGGCCAATTGGACCTTGAATCTGCTCGTAGCTTCTTCAGGGACATGCGCTACCCCAAAGGCTTCTTCCGTGCAGCCCAACCAGGAGGCGGCGAGGGCGCCGATGTTATCTTCCTGGCTCACCCAACAAGCCCGGGACGAAACAACGGAACTGTTAACAGCTTCGTAGTGGATGATAGCTTGGGGGGCATACTGGACCCGTGTAAGTTTTACACGGAATTTGTTAACACGACCGTTCGTGGGCTGTACCCGAGCCCCACTGGCGTGCTGCGTCGAAACCTCGATATAAACCTCGGGTTCTTCTATGATACGATCGCGTCGGGGCTGCCTGACTGCCCCCAGGTCTTCCCCTACGGCCCTGTCTAGATGGCGTGTCAACCGGTCGTTGGTGCAAAGTTGGCGTACTGGAAACTGTCAAACGGAGTGTAGATCACGATGTACCTGATTACCTGGACAATCTGATACTAGTGGCTGGCCATTGGATACCGCCCTGGAACGTAAACAGGTCTGCTTCTCCCCCGGTGTTCGCATATTACTGCGACGTCAACGCCCGTGCGCTCGGTTTCGGATTAAATGGGTCGTGCCCCCTCCTTGAGAGCGTGACAAACATAGTGAGCCTTCACAACACATTCGCTAAGATGACGGGATCCGCGCAACATAGACGCACCCTGCAGTAAACGCCGGGCCTCCCCGCCCTTGTCGAAAGCAGCGCAAAATAAAGTTTTGTCAGCAAGAAATGTTGTCTTGTGTGGTTCGTTCGAGGTCTTTCTAATAGAATAGAATCTGCAGTGCGTGTGACGATACTTTGATATATTAATACTGATAGTGATAATATAATTTATGGGATGGAATTGATCTGAAAAGCGAAAGAAAGAAAGAAAGAAAGAAAATGATGATAGTGATGGTTGGGGTCTCAATCTTTTTCAACACACTTTGCCTACTGGTCAGTACGCGATGCGGTTAGCAGATAACGCATCGCGGTCGAATATGGTAGGTACATCAGCGTCCATCAGAAATGAATGCCACCTTTGCTGGTAGACATGCAGCCACGTCGAGCGGTTCCAGCACCATGCGCTTAGAGTCAGGGTGTAAGCATGGCCCTGCTTACAGCGCCAACGCCATTTGCCATTTAGATTGATTAGATTAGATGTTTCTGGATGTGCCGAAACATCTCTTTCAGGCGCATCCCGATTATTTTGCTTCTTATCTTGTTACCTCGTTTTCCACGTATCATTTAGTAGTCTGTTCGACGAATGCATACGTTGGTCCTATCAATCTTCGTGACCAACACCCAGCGAGGCTGCAGGGACACGGCAGCCTTCCGGAGGGAAACATATGATTAACTGGGACTCGGACGCATAACATACTGGTAAGACAGACGGGTTAATTATATAGGGAATCAAGACTCATTACTCCACTGAAACATCTGCGGATACGGCCTAGGTATAAAATGCAATGAAATATCGGCGATTCCTTCTCGACCACCCTCCTTTTTAAGCTCCTTCCCCTCTTCAGTCCTAGGAATCCATTACATCACGACTTCAAGTACCTGAACTCAAACGATGGTTCAACTCTCCCTTCCCTTGAAATGGGTCGCCCTCGCCGTCTATTTTAGGACGATATCCACATCCGTTTTAGCCTTCCCTCAGTACCAGTCTTTGGCTGGGCTCTCGGAGCGGGAACTAAAGGAGGCCTTGCCCACGTTGACGCCCCGTCTTCCGACTCCTCCACGACCGGAGGTGTATCAAGGAGCTAAGCTTGTAGACAATGCAGCTCATCCCTGGCGCGCTCCAAGAGCAGGCGACCAGCGCGGTCCTTGTCCAGGGCTTAACACCCTTGCCAATCACGGCGTAAGCTCCCTTCCATTGTTCGTATGTTTCTGTGCATTTGATCTAATTGCGAGTACCGTAGTACCTCCCCAGGGACGGCGTTGCTTCTCCCGCGCAAACCATAGCCGCATCCATGGCAGGCTTCAACATGGATCTTCAGGGAGCCAGTATTGCGACTTATGTTGGACACCTCCTCGACGGCAATCTCGTCACTGATTTGGTCAGTATCGGAGGAAAAACACCCAAAACCGGACCTGATCCGCCCGGAAATGGTCTCGTTTCTGGTATCCACACACACGGGACTTTCGAGGGCGATGCTAGCATAACTCGGGGTACGTTTTGTCTTGAATCATACCCGCTTACAAAGTCTATACATTATGACACTGGGTAAACGAACTTGATTGTTGAACACAAGGCATGATCTGGCGCGCCGTCAGTTTTCATGTATGCGTCAGTTGCATGAAGTTGCGTTACATAGCCTCCTTTCCATGTTGCAAACTTTCGTTTCGCCGTTTCAGTGGGCGGAACAAGTAATAACACACTGCGCCATGTTACCTTGTGCTCAATGGAATGGGTGGTTGTGATGACGTAAAATGCATTGAGGCTGGGATGTCTACGGCCAAAAATTTAGAGCCATATGCCAGGAGGGTCTTAGTCAATGGTAAAACTCGAGTACGGGGAATCGAACCCCGACCTTCGCGAACAGTTCCGAAGAAGCGTTGCGGCGCGCTACCTTTGTGCTATACCCGAAATCTAATTCTATAGTACCAATCATACCCACAATCGCACCGCGAGTTCATACGCAAGGTGATGAGGGGTGGTGTCGATGTGAGGAAGCGTGGCCTCAGCTTTTATGCAAGACTGTTCCAGCGACTGATAGGTTTACGTACAAGAAATAGATAACAGTGTCAGTGTATGTGTAGCTCAAGGTCCAGATGCCAGCAGTCGTCGATTTGTGTTGGGAACAGGTCGATACGCTGGGGCAAGACTGGTGCTCATGATTCCCATTTATCAGACCCGTCACGGACGGTGTTGTTAGGCCAGCAGCGAGAACTTTAGCAGCCTTGAGGGCACGGCGTAGACAGCAGATAGGATTCCGATTAGATTAGATCGATACGTACATAGGCAGATCGCTCCCTAACGGAGCGCGGCGAGAGCAAAAACTCATGGAAAACACCCTGACACTCTTCCATCGTGTCCCTGCGAGCTTCCTTTGGAGTGAACCCCGTTTTAGGTTAATCCTAGTACCTACTTGGTAGTATCGCATTGGGATAACATAAACATGCTTGAAAAGGTGGCTTATAGACAGGAATATTTAAGTTGTCGTGCTGTAGCTACATGGTTGTCAATAATGAAGTTGTTTCCTCATGGGACTCGACTACAGTTCTCTCCCTGCGCCCGCCATCATTATCGGTACCTTTTCCCCCATTCGTCACGTCGTCTTCTCTGTTGAGGAATTGCTGCCACGCTCTTCGTCCCTCACTTCTGGCCCGGTCATTGAAAAGAATGACTGTTCCGTTGGTGCGTCCGCCGCAAAGACGATGGGCTTGGAGAGGACAGAGCTGTTGCCGTGAAGCTTTGGGTTGCTGAGCCAGGATCGTCCGGTGGTCACCCGGAAGATAATCATTTGAGGAGAGATTGCCTGAGAGAATGTGGTTAGCTCATTTCCTCACAAGCGGGCGCCGATACGAGTGACAGCGATCAAACACGGAGATAGAGGGGAGATTAAATGCTCACAGTGAATGAATAGAAGAGCATTCCCAGCATGAGCTGTGTCATTTCTGCCCCTAGTGTTGTTCGGTATACCGTATAGATCATGTTGATCGCAAAAGCAACACCGAAGATCGACAAAGGGAAGGCGGATTCGATAAGAATTGCTACTGCTCCTCCGTAAATATTGAGATTTCTCTCTGGGAGAATGGTGCTGAGGTGGCGGCGGGCTCGGATAAGGCGGAAAGAGATTAAGAACGTAACCATGATGTTCAGAGACACCACAAGGAAAATCCAGGCGCTGCGACTGGCGCGGGTTGGAAGGGGATCGTGGGGCATCAAACTACGTATGCCCATTCCTGAAGTATTCGAGATTGGTGATACCATCGAAGACGCAAAGTGACTCGTGAGTAACGTACCTAGACCGCCAAGATACGCGAGTGTCGGAAGGATGAGTACGAGCTTCCTATCGCTCCATATAACATAACAGCGATAGAGCTAAAGTAAACAGAGGTCAGCGAGAGATATGAGTGTTATGGCTGCGCTGGACATACCAGGAGTGCGTCGCCAACAAAAACTACAACAGTAAACATGACTTCACTCGTAAACCGGAGCGGGAGGTCGCCGTAGAAGCTGAAGAGGCGAAGATACTCAGTTGGAGAGGATGCTTCGAACATGACTCTGAATACCCAAGCACAGTCAAGTGCAGCAGGGACGCCAGAGAGTATGAGGATGAGGAAACTGATGATGATATAAGGCATTCGTCCTTTCCGTAGAGACGGAGGAGTCTCGAGATATACAGAAAGACCATAAAGACACATGAAAAGTTGAATTCCTTTATTTGACACGGATGAGCGTACAATGGTATGTTAAATATGTCTTATTGACTCACCGACGTCGATTAATGTGATTGTTATGTTAGCATAGATAGTTTCAGCAAACGTTATCGCAAGGTGGGTCTGGTCCACACTCGACATTTTGGCGATGCCGTCGTTGGTTACTCAGGTATGCAGAGGAGGCTTTGTGGTTCCTAGAAATAGGATCTGAGCTGGATAATGAGGGTCGCTCGTGGGATATATAAACATTTTCATCTCAAGGTCCTAGGAATGCCAACGGAGCCATTTGCACCTGAATCAGACTCCGGCAAAATCGCAAATAACCAAGAATCTCGGAGGCTTTGCTTTCGCCAAGTTCCTTCTTGACCTCATAATCCCCGCGACATATGTCTGTTTCTGTCGAGTAGGTTGTTCTGCAGACCCTGCGCGTGATGAGGGGGATTGGGTGGCTCAGGGGTTGAGGAATGTGGAACATTGGTGGAACATATCCAAAAATAGGTGGAACCAAGTTTTACATGTTTCGACAGGTGGCATGATAGATGGTTTCAAACTTGAGGCCACAACATCATAGAAGGTGGGGAAATGTATCGTCCGAGAACCCCAAATAACTTGACTGTGAGCGCTAAACGAAAGATCTGGATTTGCCTGCAACTTCAAAGTCCAGGTTCTGACAAGCATGGGACACGCCTGTGGCTAAATCCGAGCTCTGACTGACTGAAGAGCTCCGTGGCCTTCCTGATTTACTTCGGTGCATTTGGGCTGTGACTGAGGCCCCTGTCACTGGTAGGTAGGAGAAATCATTGATACTGATGAATTAGATGTTTCAGGAGTCTGCCCTGGTACGCCTGAGGCCCAGGTAGGGCTTATAGTTTGTGGAGAACCTCTGAGAGGGAAACTAGACGCGAATGAGAGCCCCCCAGAAGAGCTGGACCGTAAAACGGACATGTATCCTAGGAAGCCACCGCATAGTTGAGTGTGAGTGGCATGACTATGACTTTCGATGATTTCCTATTTATTCGCAGGCTGCCAGTGGGAAAATCCGAAGTAATTGCATGAGTATGACGCAACTGGGCCGGACCGGCGGCTCCCACCCTCTCACGACCATTAAATCTACAGCCCCTAAAGCTTTCACTGATTCGCTGTACCAGGGTCCCAGAACCTACAGCCCTCCCGATTAGAACAGCATGAGCCCGTGGCTGTATATAGCGCTCCGCTGCGACTGCAACATATACCATTTGCCTCTGCCCATCGCCTGGCAGCTTGACGCCATACCGATCCAGCCCAGGAACCAGGCAGTCAGTGCCTGGGCCTGGAGTGTCCCCACGGCTACGTACTCCACCCTGCATTAGCCAAACCTATTACTTATCAATAATTCATGACACTGGTTTTTTCTTGCACATTACCTTCTTTCAATACATGAGAGTCGTATGCATCAGAAGTGGGGAGCAGGTGCGGCACAGAAATTTGACGGTATCTCACAATAGGTTTATACGTAACAGACCCACAACCTAAAGGTAACGGCGATGTATATATACGCCTATATAGGAAGAAGAAAGGGAGGAAAGCATATGATTGAATGAGTTTAGATTAACTAAACTCTCTTAGACTATCACTCAATCACTCCCATAGGGAAAGATTTGCCTACAGTTCAATGCTGCGGGAAGCGAATCGAACAGGAACTGCAAGTTCAGGTTCAAGTTGCTTCTCAACACGCCAGTAGGATTCGGGTAAAGCGCCTTAACCCTCGTCCCAACCAAAACCTCGTAGAACCTGCAGATATCCGACAGGCCGCCCTGAGTGTCATCAACGACGAATGTGTTTACACCATTGGCGTTCCTCCCTGGCTGGAATCCCGGGCGGGAACTGTTGGTGCCGACGATGGTGAGCACCTCCGGGTTGAATGCACCACCTGGGTTTGCGGCTCGGAAGAAGTTGGGTGGGTACCTTCCGTCCTTGAAGAAGCTCTCTGCAGCGCTCATGCTGAGGTGGCCCGCAAGAGCACCGGTGGTACGTCCGTCAACAAACATGAGGATGGGGAATGCGGACTCGCCAAATGCAGTGATTTGGCGGGGTCCGAGGAAGTTGAACGTCGGATTGGAATTGATGGACTGTTGAATTCGGTGGTAACGGAGCTCATGGGCAACTGTGAGGTTGTAGTAACCATTTCCGTAACGGGCGCTAAATTCCGTAAACTGGAGAAAGGTCGAGTTAGAACGATATTTATATTTGGTTTTTTGATTGAGTCCCTAGTGATGCTAAGGTAGTGAGTACGTACTTGATTGAAGAATTCCTGATTGAAATTGAAGTTGTTTCCGAAGAAATCGTCGGCTGCGAACAAAATCATGGCACCTCAGTAATTCACCCAATTGTGAAGCGCAGCCGCAAAACTTGCCTCTTGTCAAGCTTGAATCGCCTTCAACAGTCCCATGTGTGTTGATACCACCCACTGAGGCTGGAGGAGGAGGATCAGGTCCTGTCTTGTCCGTCTTTCCCCCAATACTCAATAAATCTGTGACCACATTCCCATTCAAGATGTGACCAACGTAAGTTGCGAGTCGAGCAGTTCCGTGGTCCATGTTGAAACCTGCCATGCTTGCTGAGATAATCTGTGAAGGGGAGGCAACGCCGTCTCTAGGAATGTACTACATCCAGCACGGGATGGCGAGGACGATGTCAGTAAGTATCGATATTGCGTGTCTGGGGAGACTGGGACGACGTACGCCGTGGTTTGCAAGGGTGTTGAGTCCAGGACAAGGGCCGCGCTGGTCCCCAGGGACGGGAGCCAGGAAGGGATGTGCGGGATCAACGACGAGCCTGGGTCCTTGGTCTTCCTCTGGTCCTGGGGGCGGTGATGGGACGCGAGGCTCGAGCGTCGAGAGAGCCTCTTCCAGCTGACGCTCAGAAAGGCCGGCAAGGGACATGTACGATGGGAATGCGCGAGCGCATATCACACTAAAGAGGATTATGAAGGGTCCGTTGAGCTGAACCATTGATATTTGAAGCTAAGCGTGTGTTGTGGCTGGATGACTGAGGGCCGTATTCTGTTTGTGAGAGGACAGTAACTTAGAAACTTGGATTGAGAATTGGACGGTCCCGCGAGCTTATATCCAAATCAGCGATGACTTTGTGAGGCTACGTAACGCATAGGCTCAAACAAGACACGGGGTTCACTCGCGTGCCCAATGAACCCGAAAGCGAAACATG